TAAAAGAAACGTTCAACTCTTACCCGATGTGCTTTCCACGTATGGCCATAATTTCGTCGGCTGTCAAACCTCCGCCATTACAACCSTTGTGTTTTGACCCTTCAAAGTTTACATGTCCATTCATGCCACCGTTTGTAAGACTATCCGCAATTTTACGTCTTTTCGCTTCAGTCATGTTTGAAGGAATGAACAGCAAGCAAAAGAGAAGACCAAATCACCGCAAACTTTTACTCGAWAACAACAAAAACCTTCGGCGTGGAAATCATGTGATATTTTTGTTTCCTTCGAAGTGACGTGTTTACCACAAGTCTTTTTTGATTGGACGAGAAGGCGCTAATACTAGTTTTTCCAGCCAGTGAGACTTGTTTTTAACCTGTAAAACTAGCTTTGAAGTCTTCTTAAGTCACGGAATTAATACAAAAGCCTGCTCCATGTGACTTTAAGCTTATAGACTAAATAAAAAGCTTCTGTTTATCGACTTTCACCCTTCAAGCTTCATCTTAAAACCCTCTGTGACCGTACAAAATTGATAGATGAGAATTGTTCTATTAAAGCTTCGCTTTTAGTCTATTGGCACATCTTTGTAAATATCACGAACGATACAAGAAAGTTTTCATTTGTTTGGATTCGCAAAATCGAGAAAGAAACGACATGCACCGACAAGCATGAAATATAAAGKACTGTCCGTGGGCTCCCTGTGGTAGATAATATACACAGGAAACCCAAGTTTCTACACATGTTGAGCCAATGATAACTGGATATGTTCAAGGGAGGCAAGACCAGGTAATGTCCCGGGTAATGCGAACATTCAGATTCTGAAATTGGTCTTCTTTTTTATGAATGTTCGTTTTTTTACTCGATATAAAGAAATGCACTTGCCATATTTTGAGATCGGAATAAATTGTCTGATTTCTGAGTCGTCCAGTTCTGAATCTCATTCCCATTTGATGTTCATTGTTCTCCATTCCCAGTGACAAAAAAATCCCCAATCCCATTTCTCGCGTAGCCATATCTTGGATGTGGATATATTAGAAAAGAAAACTCAGTTATGACTTYTGGAGGCACTTGTACTATGATCTTTATTTGTAGACGTTTCGCCTTTTGAGGGCTTCATCAGTACATGCAAATAAAGTTATAAAGAATGGGCTCCTAGTTTATTCCGTTGAAAGAATACGATTTGTATTCCTACGATATCACTTGACCCTCCACCTCTTCTCCTGC